TTCGAAAGTTTTGTATACTAATTTTGTGTTTTCGATTTGAAATTAGTGAAATGTTTAGGCGGAGAAAGAAAAAGTAAAAATAAAAAGCACTTTGAATCAGTATTTCGTTGTCATCGACGGTTCGAATCGTATAGTTCAATGAATCTCAACAATCTTTACTTGAAAGTCTTTTTTTTTTGTTTACTTAATCATCCGATCTATTTCAACAAAAATAAACATTTGTATAAAACTATGCCAAATTGAAATCACCTATACACACAACATAGCAAACTAGACTTCCTTAAAGGTTTTTCTAATAATATTGAAAAAGAAGATTTTCTAACAACAGGGGAGATAATCGAAGACATTAGGTTTTACACATATACACAATATCTTGGTCTATTCAAGAAATCCAGTTTTCTTCAATACGGCATTCCTAACTTTGCTCAAATCTCTTCCTTTCAATTTCCTTCCAACTCCTTCCATAACCGAGGACGACGAGGATGATCTACTGCGCCGCATAAAATACTCCTCCGGAGACACAATCTCATTATCATCAACATCAACTTGCTTTCTAGTCCTTTCTTGAACTATTGACCAGTCAGGAACATTGACAGGAACCGAATGTTGTCTAATAGGTGTCATTCCTTCTCTAATGTGTCTCTTAGGAATCTTTTGAGGTTCGGTTGAAAGTAAACTTTGGGTTGAAAAAGAGGGTTTCGTGGTATGGTTGCTGATCATGAAGGATGATTGATGATGTCCATCAAGAACATCCCACACATCATCTTCTTGAAAATCTCCATCTCTCAAAGATCCCCATGCCTCATGTCTCATGTTGTTCTTCTCCATTGATACTTACCTGCTTCTACAAACATAACAGATCAATAAATAAGAATCTTTGATTAGACAACTTGTCTTAGCTAGTCACAAAATAGCAAAGGATGTAAGAATCTACGTACCCTTTTGTTTTTATTTAGTGAAGCTTAGAGAATATATTAATATAATGAGATTTATAGAGTGGAATTTTCGTCAAGAGAAGC